ATACTAGTGCTTCCTGAAGTGTCTTCGTAGTTCCAAGGTCCTACGTCAGCATTAGTCGAGGCGAAACCGGCACTGCGTTCTGAGGATAAATACACTGAGGTTGAAACTGTGTGAGTTTTGCGAGACCGATCGCTAACCGTTAGGGTAAGCATTTACTCTGGCCTGCTGTCTTCTGATTGGTGGGTGTCCGGGTAGCCTTTAGCATTGGCTTCTGACCTGCCAACCACCAATCAGAAAGTAGGTCAGCTAACAGGCCGATAGGAATACTCATCAAAAGGGCCAATGATTGGTCAAAATCACCCTGGGTGAGAAGACACTGTAATAACCCATGTGCGCGCAGCATCCACGCCCTTACACTCACACGGCACTGATGATTTCAATCATACTGGTGATGGGACATTTGGAATCAAGTTACCCACCTGACTTAAGAAGTTGACAACCGTTCCAGGTTTTGGAGTGACCATTGTTCAGCACAATTTGCTTAAAGATGTGTTTGACCTGTCAACCTCTCTGATAACGACTTTTATATCAAGGTTGATATTACAGTCATACGTCTTGCAAACATGAAACTTACATTCGTCGAACCTCTGCGGAGCTGGAATTTGCGGACAAACCAATATACGTAAACTTCCGTTTTGGCATAAGATTTGAAAACCATTTCACTAGAATCCAGAATACTTGGGGCGAATAATGTAAAGTGTTCTTTGTGGATGACTGTTCTGCCAGCATGAGCCAAATTGTCCGCACAAGCGGAATCTCCCATGAATACGGGTCGATAGTTCGGACGGACCAAAACAACTTCCCACAGTCACCACGATTTTCAGTAGACCCTACCTGAAATTGTCCCAAAAGAACTTTTTCACTCGTGCCAGGTACAAACTACGATTGAGGTAATACTGACTCTGTAGGTTTCTGGGATATAGTCTAATTCTATGCGGAGAAACCAGGTCTTTTTGACACCTGAAGTGGGTCAGTAAAGCCCAACTTGAGATAAGCTAGATATCCGCAGGATCAATTTACTTGGTTTGTTGAATGCAATGTTTATAGAATCTCATAAATGAAAATTAGGAATTCGGACTCACGGGGTGGGGTTGTTGGAGGTGGAGTTGGAGGGGGTGGTGGCGGGGTTGCTTTTGGTCTCCACTGATGGTATGTCACTGCAAAAAACAAGCACATTTTTGACCAAATAACCTTTATTGTGAGGTGTCATAAGACTTTTGTATCTTCCTGCCGAACACCCCTCATAAGTTTGCTTCAAACCCTTCGACAACCCAGGACCAGTTTGACCTATTTGAGGCTCCGTAGGCAGGAGCGGTATCCCCCGGGTTTTGCTTGAACTTAAATTGGATGCAACTTGAGAATTGCACTCCTTGAGTGATGACTTCTCCACCAACACATGCTATGTCCATTTGAATTTTTACGCTTGGACAGATGAACTTGTTCACGACTATGCGATGCGTCTCAGTAACTGTCGACCAGTTGGACCACCTGTGTGGATTTCTCAGTCAAGTAACGCCACAGAGGCTTTGAAACCTGGTGTATCATCTATGATGGTGGTTGCGGGATTTGTAGCTATAGTCCCTAAAGTAACGTTTGAAATCCGATTTTTAATGCAGGGTAGACCCGCCGCAGTACTAAGACTAACCTTACCCTGACACAAGCTTTTTGGGCACCGGAATTTTGAACCTGACAATCAGGTGTTGCCTTGTGAGTGGGTCATCCATTAAATCACTGTATTTTGTCTTGACAAGACGTGTCGGTGATTTTTATACGATAACTCGGTGACATTCTTACGATGGTGTTGAAAGAACCTGCAAGGGTTTAAGCCAAACTCTCTGGGCGTCCTGCAAATAATGTTCTTCCCGATTCGTTGCACTCCCTCTCCAGCTCACCATCCGATGAGTCGACATTTCTGTCAGTTTGTAGGAACATCGTATGAAAATGATGTGGAATAGAATGAAAATTTCTGTATTCTTATCTCAATGATTTTTCTTCACACATTTATCCTGCTTTCCGGCGCAATTGATCCGGCCAGTTCATACGGGGAGAGGTACAGTTATCCCTCAAAGGCCACTGTAATTGTTGCACATCAGTGTTGGGCATCTGGCTCTGGTCAGACAAAACCCCCGAATATCTGACACATAGAACAGACGTATCCACTGACGGATTTGTGGTCTAATCGTCTGTCTCGGCCGTTATCTTCACATTTGAATCGATTTAATTTGCCTTGTTCAAGCATCGACCGACGAGCTTGTTGTGTCCATCAACCATGTGGTGTTTTGTACCTTTATTTTGCTTCCATTACAACACTACGTATTTCGTCAAATGCATAATCGTTTTTTGTTTGAATACGAAAAACTACAAAAACACGCACCTGTACCAGAGTCACGCAATACAAACATGGCCAAGTGCTTCGACTCCCTCTTCTGATTTCGCTCGCGCTTACAGCATTCGCGAGTCTCATGTGCTGCCTCTGGTATCAAAACATTTCAGACCATCTTCGGAATCTATTATATGTGGGAACTGTTCAGAAGAAGACCCCTGGACCACCATAATTGGATTATTGTTTGTTCGCTGAACTGGCCCAACGATGAACTATTTTAAAGAGAACAATTATTAGTGAGTCTGTTCCATTTAACCTCTTTATTATTGTATACCCAATCTAGCGTCATTATTTTTATTTCTTTACCACACTCCAGGTAAAGTAACTTATTGGGTAGCCAGACCACTACAACCATACTGTCTGCCAAGAAGTTCTTTTTCGGGGAACCACAGACATCTTAAATCCACTAAAAAGCTCATTTGGACTTCAGTCGAAGCAAAATTCTTTTTACTGAAGACAAATCAGGGTGATCGCGCCATGCGAGTAGCAGTCGATAGTGGTGGAGAACCGGATTTAATACATTCTCTGACTACTTAGAAGTAGTTCAGTTTGTTGGTGGTGAGTTTACTCCTGACCTATGTGCCCAGGTGTTTCTCACATTGAATCTTGACAAAGCTCCTGTGTGACCTACGACAGTTAGTATATTGCTCAAACCACAAATACTAATGTGTTAATTCCTTCGCTTTAGCGTTGCGTTCCCTCATCATTCTTTATGGTGGCATGGCATAAACTTTTGTGTGGCTGTTTGGTACAGGTGGTTAGCTACCAGCGTTTTGTCTCATCGATTCTACTTAATCATCTGGCTCGTAAGGTGAGTTGTACATTCCTAAAACCGCTACAATGGTGATCATCACACACTTTAGTTACGGCGCAACTCCACTGGCATGATTTTGTAACGGCCACGATGTCGAATAAAATTTAGTGAAGAGCGTATATTTCTCCGTCGATTATATGCTATATCATCTCTGAAGTTACCATTGACTAACTCAAGAAGACGAATTCCGAGCCTGATCAGCTCTGCACACTCCACACTCTTTGCCATTGGTCATGCTGGGTAAACACGCAATTGCCGGGGGATTTCCTAAAATTTTTGAAAATTGGCGCCTCGAGTTAGACTCTACGCTGTAAATAGACTCATCTTGTGCTCTTGACGGCTCCTTATTCCCTGTCGGATTATTAAAGGGATTATCGACATCGCCACGCTCTAGTCAGACATTTAACAACAGAGATTTAATCAACAATGCGAACAACCCATCATCGCGAAACGTGACATTCTGTTCAATGCTTTTCATAGATAGAAGGTCTATATGGTTAATAAGAAATGCTTCTTTCCGATTACAGAAATTATTGTTTTCTGTGTTTGGAAACAGTTACAAATTCGCACACGTTTAACTCACATTGGATGGAAATCTTGTGAACTATTGCATGCATGGAAAGAAGTAGAACTTTTGTGACCATTGCACTCATCAGAAATGTTGCTCACGAAATAGAGTAGAAAAAAGGACTGAGGAAGCACAGTACACAGCCGGGCATTAGTTATTTGCCAAGGCTTTTTACATGCCAGGAAACACGACAGATGAGTTACTAACGCGTCATAGTTTGCACTGGTTAGGCACCACACATTCCAGAAGACCATCTGCCTCGCAGAGTTCCTTTCACCCAGCCCTGTGCTTAATGGGAGCGGCGGGGAGATGGACAGTGTATGACCGGACACTGTTGACAAAAATGATCAATAAATCGAGTTTGGTCGAAAACTTCTCTCTCCCACGATAGATGAATTACTCATGCTCTATAGGTTGCGCTGGTTAATACATGTACTCCGCATGCTAGAAAGCCGTCTGTCTCACGGATCTCTTTATTCTCAGCCCTGTGCTGCGTAAAAGCGACCGAAAGGTGGACAATTTGTGACCTGGCAAGAAGTACGAGAACAACAACCAGTGAACTTAGTCGGGTTAGCAACCACCGCCTTCCTGGATGGAAACTTCGGGAAACGAATCACCAGTGGTTAGTGACATTGACAGAAATGGTTCGAACGAAAAGTTAGTGGCACTCGTGCATCAAAGCTATCACCTTCAATGTGTAAGTTCTTAGTTTCTCGAGAAAACTGAACATTGTCGCCTCCAATACTTGGATATATCTTCTACACTTCCCATCTTCCGATAACCGGATTGCCCTTGGAACACTGTTATGGTTAACTGACTCATTGATCGGGACCCTTTGAGGTTTTAACGCTTAAAAAAAGACTGATGATGAAATAAAACCGAAAGTAAATATCAGTTCACACTACTCTTGACAAATTTTGACAAAAGCTCTCTTAGCGTTACCGAAAAGAGAACTGGTCTCGATTGTGACCTGCCTACGAAACTTACGTGACTTGCTAGGTTGGTGTACGTACCCGGTTCCGTCTGAACAATCTTGCCTTTGTCCGAACACAATTATTCTGTTAAGTCCCCGCCAAAAAAGAAGTAGCTGGGGTTTTCTCATCGGAGCCCATCGCCACCCTTTGCTTCATCAACATTTGAACCACAGACATCTGACATGTTAAGCGGACGTTTTACCACTGTTACACCTGAAGCTCGGCTTCAATACCCTCCCTCTTTGGCAATGACTCACCAAAATGCCTACCCTGGGCAGTTCACACGAAAGTTGTGTACATTTAAACTCTAGAGATTACAAAACCACCCACAACAAATCTATCAATTCGGCATTCAAGCAAGAGGTTTGTGTTTGATCCCAACTAGCCAGGAGCAAAATCTCTACAAGATCCAGAACCGAGTACAGAAATGATTTCTTGTGGTCAGAGCGTTAGCTAGCGTTACAGTGGTTGTCGTATGGGGTTTATGCGTTATTCTGAAGGCATGAAATCACCGTTGAGGCGTCCTGTGAAACCATTAGTTTATGAACGCTGAAAAGTACATGGAGCAAGAAATCCGGTCCCGAGGACCTTCTTACATCAAGTGACTGATTTCCTTTATTGATAAGGATTTGGTCTCAGTGTGGTCCACTTCACTCCTCCAGGTCATTTGCTCGGAGAATAAAGCGGATTTTTTCAGCTCTCAGCCTCCGACGGCACTTCTACGAAAGATTTGCAATTCCTTCTATCTCACTAATAGGCACAATTTTCTTCTCGCTGATCGAATCGACTGGGAAAAAGCTAGATCTGGTTGTTGTTTTCATCTTGCACGACGCCGTCATTTAAACGTCATACGTTACAGCTAGTTCGTGGCATTTTCCTGAGTCCTATGCGCGTATACAAGAAGGATGCTTCCAGAGATTGTTCACTCTTTTTCACAGGACACACTAACAGTCTTCCTGATCCGGGGTATAGTGGAGGTAGCTCTCCACAGACCGGTAGCCTAAGGAAACAGAAAATCACTTGCTTCTACAAGATGAACTTTCTTTAGAGAACGGTCGTACTTTGTAAGACTCAGCGAACGAGGTTGGACCGTACTAGAGGTATCAATCCTCGAACTGAGGTAATACAAGAACCCAAGCATCTTCATGTACAAGATTGTTGAAAGGGACTGTGAACCAGTCATACAATTATCCCAACTGATTTCGCACCCCCCTCCCGAAAAAAATCTAGATACTTACACGCAAGTCTTGGTGCTAAAAACCGAAATAAATTGACAGATTAAAGGAGTTACGGTTTGTACACAGACAGTCGGTAACCAGACTTGGACGTGTGGACTAAACGTGGGTTGAAATGGCATTACTCACAGGGTCGTTAGGGATGTGGGATTCAGTTGACAAAATAGGATGCTGAAACTTAAATGCCCCAGAAAACGACACCGAGTGTTTGAGATTAGATTTGTGAACCAAGAGCGAGACGCACACTGCATTTTGAAGCGTCCACCGGAAATGATGAGCTAAATAGGTCCATTGTTCTAACTTGAACTTATGGTAATTCCCCCATTCATTTGCTTACTCCGCCTATGTACTTTTGATCTCCAGTTGTTATGCTCATACGTACCCGCCACTCACCTTGCCGCAGAGGCCGTCCTGTCCGACACTTGCGTATTGACATGTGTCTGTGTGTAAATGTGAGCTGCTGACCTACTTACACATGCGCGTTCATGTCCCGTTTGCTGAGCCTGCCTTGACTTGTTTTCTCATGAGTTCCATGTGATCGCACGTCCAATGACAATTAGGAGACTGTCGTCGGAAGAGACGACCGCAGCCCACGCTGCTGAGCCATCATTCCGCTCGCTGCTGTTTGGTGTGTGGACGTCGACACTGCATTGTGCCGGTCAGCGACAAACCTGTGAACTTGTTGACGCCACGAGCGTCAACAATTGAGGTTTGTTGTGCACATTTGCTTACTCTTGTGTAAATAGTACCGCAGAATTACGAACCCGATTCTTCCTTTTGATTTTCGGCATTGTCAAACCCACGCGTCAAAGTTCTGTATCGGGAACCTCAACATCCATTCTTGAGGATGTTCTATCTGAGCGACGGTTGCAACACTGAACCGAACTCACCAGGAGTGGTGAAAAGCGGTGTAGGCACTGACGATACCTCTTTGATTGGTGAAGGGACGTTTGCAATCCAACCACCAAGCTTGACGAACGAATCCTCCACCAACGATTGCGCGGTAGCTGACTATGTTCCTCAACAAAGTCAGGTGAAGGTATGCACCGATCCAGAAGTGCTCAGCCACATTAGCTCTTTCTTTTTATTGAGAATCATCAGGCAGATGAATAAAGACCAGGTACGTAGCACTTTGATTAACATTTCCGGGCTGTTACCTCGAGATCTCACGATCGGTGAGTGCAGGCGGTGCTCTGGGTTTCAGGTGAGATTCTAGGCCTTACCAGATGTTGGCAAATCGGAAGGATCATTTGACAGCTCGCGAATCGTCAGAAGAGTCTGTCTAATTAGTCATCGATAATCGGATGTTCACCATGGTGTGGACTTGGAATTTTGGCGGATGTTTACGCTGAATGTGAGGTCAAATTGGGGGCACTATTATCTTAGGTTGAGACATGCGTACGACAGGCGACAGCCTGCAACTGCGCGATCCCCTTCGCCCGAATGATGGCCAGAGATCGAGCATGTTCTTTCCCACCACTTCTACACACGTTCAGCTCCAACTTCTTCCGTATTTCGTCCTGATTGAAGTAAAGCACTGTTGCTACTTTCATGCTCTTCCCTATCGGACGACCCAACTCAACAGCCTGCTACGAGGACACTGTTCCATGAATTTTAAGTTCCGGTAGCACCGTGTTCCTTTGCTCTAATATTCATGTGCATTGCATGTGTATTGTATTGTATTGTATTGTATTGTGTTGTATTGTATACAATGCATATGTATATATGTATAAATAAATATGTTCATCCCGACACAAGTTCTGTCTTAGACAAACTGTGAAGAGACAAGATACACGAATAAAAACATAACGCGACCACTAAAAGACATGGCTTTCTATCCTTTATCTCTATACATGAGGACAGTGGACACATCTGGAAGGCGTAAAAATCATGCCAGCCAGGGCCGCGAGGCACAGAACGGAACTTCTGGAAGCGTGGTAATCCACGGGGTATTCCATAAAACAGTACATGAACTAGATTCATTGTGCCTGTTTCACCATTTGCAATGTCTCAACCGGTATATTATAAGGGAGCTGATAATCGGATTAACAGACCAAGAAAGGGGGACCGCCCAGTGGTCAAATCAACACAGGTCACCAAGGCAGATAAAAGTCAAACCTTACTTGAGCTCCGTCCAATGAACAAGAACAAGCGTGACTAGTCCACAGGTCACGTGATCACCAACTAATCAGGATACACGCACACGCACATAGGCAACGCAAATGTGGACATGCACCATCACTCAGCGCTCAACCACTCACAGATCACTACTCTCCGCATCCTAGAAGCACACTGATGATATCATCTCGACTGGTGGCGAATCATTTGTAACTGAAGTGCCTAGTTCAGTCAACAAACCGGCGACCATCTGCGCTACCTGTGCCACCAAAATTCTGTCCAAACATTTATCCCGTCGGGACGAAAAAGCGAAAAGACTAGATGAGCTCATCTAGCCCTATCTGAGGTTGATGTCATCGAGGTGGTATTTAAGCGTAAAAGTGCACTATTATCTTGAGCTGGCGTGTGGGAATACAGGTGTCAGAAGTGTTCAGAATGGGAAAATTTAATGATCTGACTTACACAACGCCCTTGGTTCTGAAATGTCAAAACAGATCGACAGCATGCTCAGAGACAATGTTCACCCTGGATTGCAACACCACTGCCTATCTTCGGGGAATCATGCCCACTCATTGGTTGTACAGTATGCTTCTGGGGTCAGTCTGAACATATATCTATGACTTTGTGGATCGTTGTCGGAAGCAGATTTTATTCTCAACTGATTCCTCCAATATCAATTTAGGGATAAACTGTGTGCAATGGGAAGTTAACTGGGGGAAAAGGCCACATCTGGGTAATCTTTCTAATGACTGCGACTTACCTCCGGTGGAATACACTTGAGGATTTTGTGTCGGAATACAAAGACATTGTATTAATATTCGACCGTTCTGAGGCGTATGTTCATGCCTGACTCCTCAGCTAATTTAAATTGCATTACTCAATTTCCAGACGGAAAGTTTGTGAGGTTTCATTTTTATATCTATTGTTGGTATTTACTATGAGCCGAAATTTCTGAATGGGTTGAAATCAAGGGTATTTACGATGGCCCTGCACTGATCCCGCAAGGTAACAGTCTCTGCGGCCGGAATCGGGGCACACTGACAGACCTGTTTGTTTTTATCACGTGAGATAAGTGGCATCGCCCTATTGAAAAAGTCCCACAACCAGCCTACCGAACAGATTTCAACCTGCTCATGACTGAAACTGCTGAGCAAAAAGTGTGTTGAGGAGAAATGAAAGTAGTGGAAGGTAAGCATGTATAACATGAATTACTGTTGTTGAATACCGGAGAAACATATAGGACACTAAGCCCTCATGGCACCTGTCAACCATCAATCTGCGTGAATATCCAGTCAAGTTCCTGACCACTTGAACCACTGACCAGGACGGATGGGTTGGTATGCTAACGGTATGCTCATGCAAGTTCACTGATTTTGGTAAAATCACCGGTATGAGAGATGAGCGACTACTTAGTTAACGTGCAATGAAACGACTTACTTTTTTTCAGTTGGTCATAATAGTATTTTCCTATGAGAATGGGACGACAACAAGCAACATTATGAGTAGAATTAGCTGTCACAATAAATTTTAACTTGGTACAGTTTCGAACGTTGTACTCGATGATTTTACTTTATTATTAAATCTGCGGTCAACAAGCATCGAAATTCTTTGGTATGATTGACGGACTGGGGGGGTTCCTCGTTTCCCATTCCTTGATTTCAAATTTTTTTGGGGGCTGTGGTCTGAGCTCCTTGCATTTGATTGGCTGCTTGAATAGAAGCGGTGTTCCTACTTCTCCCATTGGTTCTTTCCATATCCCAGAGCGTTGCGGTCTGGAAAGCTTCACATCAGGTTGGTTGTCCCGTTTATCCGGTGGTGATTAGCAATCTGGTGAGTTATATGAACTGTTACGGTTCGTCTGTGGCCTTCGTTATTCACTTTTAATATCATTTTCTTTGTCCAGGATGCTTGTATGGACGACGATCTAGTACATGCGTGTTTACAGATCCTGCGGGTGGTGATTAGCAATCTGGTGAGTTATATGAACTGTTACGGTTCGTCTGTGGCCTT